AACGTGCACTAAGGGCCACACAAGCTTCGGGAGCCCACTGGCAGCACGTGTGAAGCAGAGTGACCTGTAAACACTTTGGGCCTAGGGTTAGGCCAAGCATTAGGAAAGAAGGGTGCCCGAGAGAGAACATGTGCTTGGGAATGTAAGGGCTCCGCAGCCTTGTGAACATAACCTCCCACGGAGAGTCGCTTTCTGAGGGGAAAGGGTAAACTCAGCAGGCTCTCATGGCTCATTTACTTAGCTGCTATTTTCAGTAGCAGGTTCAGTTATTTCAGATGGAGAGCTAATAAGGAGCGCGCTGTGCATTCCCGAGTTTGAAATAATAATGGCACATTTTCTCTTAAAATTGTACGAACATCCTAAACGATAAAGAAAAAAATCCCTCTGCAATATCTTACACTTTTCTTTCTTTTTTTAAATCCTCACTTGAGGATATTTTTTTCCACTGCTTTCAGAGAGTGGAAGGGACAGAGAGAGAGAAAGAGAGAGAGAAACATCCATGTGAGAGGAACACATGGATTGGTTGCCTCCCACACTGACCCCGGGATAGAGTGGCCTGGTCCACCTGGTTCAAATTCCATTTTTTTTCATTAGTTAACTGTGTAGCCTCAGGCAAGTCACTTAACCTCTTTGGGACTCAGGTTCCCCATTAACAAAATGAGGGTGGTGTTACCCCTCACTACAAGGGATTTCTAGTAGACATTAGAAATAATAAATGCATGAAGGATCTGATTTTTTCAGGTGTTAACAAATAGCAGTTATTATTCTTATGAATATGATTACTGCTGTTATTAATTCTCTCCCAGGATCTTAACCTCAGTTGGCTAATTGATTCAACAGGCATGAGTGATTCACCTTCCAGTCCTATTAGACCCTAGGCTCGGCCCTGGGAAACACAGAAGAAAGAATATTCTTTGTCGTCAAGCCCACGATGTTATGGGATTATTACCAAACTATGGCCTGGCATTCAAGGCAGGTCTTAATTCAGCTCCCTCCTGTTAATCATTTCATGAATACTTATTAAGCTGCAATGGTTGGAGTATGGTGTTATGTCCAATTTAGGTGTTTTCTAGGCTTTATCCCCAATCATTTCCCTGCCCATGTCCCATGTATGTAATTTAGAGACTTCAAATGTTAGCCCGGGCCACCGGTGCATCCTGACGTGGCAAGAAGTGAACCAGGCAGTTATACCGACCGTTTCAGACAGCTGCCTGTTTCTCCTGGGCCACACAATTATTTGTATCCTGAAAACAACACTGTATTTCAAAGCAGTCACAGGAATGGCATAAGAGCACCGAGGACAATTCAGAAGTTTCGAGCCATACTCATTTATTTTTGCCATTTCATGCAAGTGCCAGCTGGCTGAGGAATGCTTTGAAAGCTGATCAGAGCTTTTCCCACATAAAAGCGATAACCAAGTTTGAGTCTCAAGCACAAAATGCAAGAGTTACAAAAACAGATACACTCAGGAAATGCCAGTATAGTATAATTTATAAATGGTCAGCAATCAAATGAGACATAGAAGTAGAGAGCAGTTGGTTAATTGCTATTTAGAATCAGTATAATGCTGATATGTTGATATGTGAGGAGGACATGATTTTTAATGTTACGAGAAGCAAAGTGTAAGACAAGTTATGCATGTAGGAAAATATGCAACGTGCATCGAGGCCTGCCATTGATCTGGGATGATTTTATGTAGCTGTGCAAAGCATGGGCCATGCAAAATTGCCCCTAGACAGAGGGACAGCAGACTGAACCACTGTGGGTCACTTCAGTGCGAGTGCATGCCTCTGGCCTTTGGCAAGAAGACAGTGGTAATCCTCATTTCTCAGACTCTTTTCTCTTCTTTGGAGGAAGCTACTGGAAACAACTGCCTTTTAAGTTGTGTGCAAATGGACACACAGTTTGCTAATAGACACACCTGCTTCTTGGAGGCTCTGTACCCTGCAGAGTATGAGTCCTTGTAGGGAGGTCTTTCAGGGGTGTTCATCTCAAAACACAGAGATAAGCCTGGTAAATGTGGGCTCACAAGTGAGGGGCTCATTCTCAGGGGTTCCTGAGCCCGAGGGCCCCATTAGAGGCTGTTCAAATTGATCAGGGCCATGCCCTTCCTTCCCACTCAAACACTGGCAGAACTGAAAAGGGGCACTTTCCTCAGGAACGCAAGCTGGGTGGGATCCAGGAAAGGAGGGTGCTCTTAGGACTGGGGGGGACATAGGGCCTACTCCATACTACAAAGGTGAGAGGGCTTCTTGGATAGGGGGCTGAAAAGAAAGAGAGGCTGCCTTTAGGCTAGTGTCAGGAAGTAAGTCTTCCTTTAAATATCCAAAGATAGTAAGAAAACTTTGAGTGCCATACTAGATATTTAAAAGATGTTAGACCCCTTCAGTTTCTGGCCAGAGATATTAGTACATAAGACAGAGGCCTGGGGAATGACAAGAATTCAGAAAAAAGTTGGTTTGCCCAGCTCCAACTGTACAACGTAACTCTCAGTTCCACAGGATGGTCTAAGCTATTTTGGGTTTCCAGAGTCCTACTTTTTATTAAAAAGAAAAGAAAGAGAAGAAAAGACACAGCGAGATTCTTCCAGGAGTTCTTTACACACAGCGAAAGGGCCCTCGGGAAGCTGAGCCGTAGGCGACAGGGCAGGGACGCTGGAGCCTGAAACTGCCCAGCAACTGCTGGCAGCGAAGGGGGGCGGGCGGCGTCCCGAAGAAGCCCTGGAACATGCCGACTTTCGGGATAAGAAGCTGAATCACAGTCACACTGAACACTGAGCGTGACTGGCAGCTTTAGACAAAGGTTCCCACATAGGGCTTCCGAATGACATTTTCCAAAGCATGAGCTCCCCGCGCTGGCCCAGCTCTCGGTCTCAGCTGGGTCGGGCTGCTCCACAGGCAGGAGGGGACCCTCGGCATCTCGACCTGCGCCTGATGCGGGGACAGGAAATCGGTTCCCTCCAGGGCCCTAGTTATCTGCACTGTGGCCTTGGTGCAACCCTGGCTCCTCGATGTCACTGTGTTTCAGGGAAATTGCCTTTAGAGGAAATTTTGTGGCTGGCTCTTTGGATGCAGCTGGGCTGAATCTGAGCCCATGGACCTCCTTCTGCAGCTTCTCTCCTGAGCTCCCCCCCAGTGACCTCAGTGGCAGCACCACGCGTGGGTATCCTGGCCTAAACAGCCAGGAGTCACTCTTCCGATTAGCTCTCAGCGCCACAGAGCCCTCCTGACCTCGACTTCTGCAGGCAGCTCAGCAGAGTCTGCACGCGGGTCTGGCCTCCCTCCCGCCCCATCCGCACCAAGTAGGCCGCCCTGGCTGCCCGGATCCCAGTCTTCCTTACGGAAAGGAATCGCCTTTAGACCTACTGGATTCGTTTTCTTCAAATATCACTTTTACTAAGACAATTCTTTCTTTCTTTTTTAAAAAAACTCCCTGTTTCTCCAAGGCTTCCAATTATCCCTGCAGAATGGTGATAACGCAGGACACCCAGCCATTCAGCAAAATCTGGAGAGGGCACTCTCTGGGATTAGCAGCTGGGCGTGGGGACCGTCACTAGGTCGCTTGATCAGAGGAGAGTGTTGACCAGAGCTGGGGGTGTTTTATACTCCAAGGGGAAAAGCCTGGAGTCTCCCTTGCATAAAAAGGTAAATGTGCTCAATTATGCTGGTTTTGTTTTTGATTTTATTTGTTCAATTTTATTTTTTTTTAATTCTTCCTTCCTTAAAGGAAACGGCTTTTATAGATATAGAATATTACAGCTATTTTTCATTGTGTGCTTCCTGAAATTTGAGGCTTTTTGCCAAGAGCAATACATTTCTGACTAATAAAAATGTCTTCAGAGATATGGCTCAGACTGTGCAAGAGCCTCCCAGTTTGTATGCCCATGCCTGCGCACATTAATTCAATTGCTTTAGTTAATTATGGGTCATCAAAAAGATACAGGCTTAGATGAAAGTGTATTTTACAGAATAAGAGGAAGCATTCAGGGACATCATTCTGTTTCTTTAGATGTACTTGTGCCACTGTCGATAGCAAATTTAAGTCAGTTTAAAGGAGGCCAGTCATGGCAAAGAATGCCCTCGAGACTTCAAAGAGCTGATCAGGAGTCATATTGAGATCAAACTCTGCCTCTGAGAACCTGCAGTGTTTTCAGTCTGCTGTCTTTAATAAGTCTAAGTTTAAGGTGAATTTCATTAACATGACGTAATAAGAAGATATTTGGGGTGTTGCTTTTTCTTCAACAATTCTTTTCTTGCATAAACCCTACTCACAGACTTGGCTCTACTGGATCCCAAAGAGCAGATCTTTAGACCATGAAGTAAAACATGGATTGAAAATGTCCAGCTATTGTGAAGATATGACATTGACCAAAATGCTTTCGGAGTAGAGGAAAATCTAACAGATAGTCAACAATGGAGGCACACTGCATGTTGTGTTCAGATTAGTTTTAAAATTAGTTTTAAAATTCTATAGAAATAAAGTTTGCTCTATTTAAAGATCATTTATTTGGAATCAACTAAAATTTTTGATCATCAGGTACGTGTGCCAAGGGCTTAAACACAAACCTTCCACATCACACCAACCCTACGACATCTGAATCAGAGAAGTTACAGCACTCGCCTAAGATCACACAGTAAGAAGAGAATCAGGCCTTTAAAATCTAAGTTCAAGTTTGTTACGCAACCTCCAACTGCCACACTAAAGATAACAGATTGTGATTTATTTTAAAGAGGTACAAAGACCTTTCACCTAGTGTTTAATATACGTAAAAGGACAGCATTTATAGTCACTTAGCTCATTTAATGGAAAATCTCCATGATTCAATTTAACAATGGTGTCTGTACTGTCTTACAAGAAGGGACATCAGGCAATGTTTGTTTGAGATGCAGTTCAAGAGATACTACGGAAGGCTCTAGTGTCTACTCTCTATTAGTGACTTTTTCTCCCATTTTTTCCTGTAATATTCTGAAGTTCCATCATTTTAAATGCATTACTTTGGAAAATCATATTTCATACATTAAACTTCCCCTTGGGTTTCCTCCTCATTAAATTAGAGTGACATAGAGGTTAACTTACATTCCAACTTGGATGGGTCATTTCCCCGGCTTCAATCTACATATAAGTAAAATCATGTGGTATTTGTCTTCCTCTGACTGGCTTATTTCACTTAGCATAATACTTTCCAGGTCCATCCACTGTCACAAAATTCTGTAGTCTAATATGTGCAATTTTGATTCTCCTAATAAATAAGCCAAGCCTACCCTTCTGTTTGAGAAAATATCAAAATTAGAAGAACCGTGTGTTTTTCTTAGATACAGGCTTTAGGAGTGTAATATTATAAGGTGAGCCATTCAAAGCCTGTGAAGACTTTTCTGAACAGAGATCCAAGAAGCTGTTCCCCTTGGCTACATGTGGGAAGAGGGACTGGTAGGAGGCTAAGATTGAGGTGCTGTGGCCCTGGAGGCTTATTTTCAAGTCATCTTTCTGAACTACTTGAGTTTTCTGATTATTTCCATGAATTACACTTTTAATGTCATTTGGGGTTATTGCAAACAAATTGTGGGCCATTCTGTTGTTTTTGTTGTTTCTGCTTTAGAAAAAGTGCTCCAAAAGTCACACTAGAGTTCAAGTTCAGTCGGGGAGCAGAAGGGGGCGGTGGCAAGGTTACCTTCTTACAGGCCGTTATGGAGCTCCCCAGGCTGCCCCCCGAGCTGCCGCTGGCGCCGCCCTGCTGGGCTGCCGGGACCTCACACATCAGTGGTGACTCCGAGATGCTGTTTATGCCAAAACACAAAAGAGAACACGTTCCAGTGAGCCATCTCCATATCCAGAAAGGAAGAAGCATAACGGGGCTTATAAAAAAAAAACCATCTTTCAGATTGGCTGACTGCTGCAGATCTGCCTGCTATTTCTGTGCTGGCTTCACTTTTGTAATTAGGGAACCACTATGAGCTGCTCTATTGTGAATATAAAACTGCAGCCCAGTTCTTAGGTGGATGCAATGCATCTACCTGACTTCTGCTCTGTTAATAGCTTCTTTAAAAATTGTTATTTAATTTTATTCTTTTTATTCTTTTAAATTTATTTTTCAATTACAGTTGACATTCAATATTATTTTGTATTAATTTTAGGTATACAGCAGAGTGGTCAGACAATCATACACTTCACAAAGTGTTCCCCCCAGTATGTCCAGTACCCACCTGGCGCCATTACTTGATCACAAGTGCATTACTTGATAACAAGTGATTCAACTCCACTGCACCAATATTCAAAGCAAAAGCATCTTCTAGTCCCCAGAAACATGATAAATCAATTCAATGATGCCTGAATCCAAAACTATATGGAGAGAGGCTTATCTTTTAGACCACGTGACATAGGAGTGAGTTTCCAGTAGGTGACTGTGCAACACAGCCCAGTCTGTTCCCATGCCTTTGGGATGCAGATGGACTTTTTAGAGTATTTGCAAAGATGCTGTCCTTGGTCTGTAGAGAAGCAGAACACTGGCTGCTTGAGGATGAGGCAGAGATGGCAGCAATGTGAAACCCATGCATTCATTAGCATGAGCTCAAACTGACATTAAGACAGCTGATGCCAAGACACCGTACAGCCTTCTAACTTGCTCCTGATGGGTAAGGCTGCAAGTTCTCTCCTGGGATACTTTCCTTTGGTTTTTGACAAGTGTTGACAATATTTATTAAGCACATCCTTTCAGATCAGTTTCAAGCTGCAACTGCTAAATGGGTTTCAAGGAGGAAGGAGATCGAGGTGGGGAAAAAAGATAGAAAAGCAGAATTTGAAGTATTGACTTTAGAAATATTCAGGGAAGAGAAGCAGTCCCCCTTACAGAAAATGTCATTTCCGAGTAAGGCCCCGAGTTGCCACTGTGAGGAAGCCATTAATGCTCCTGGTGGTGTGAATAAGTAGGTCACCATCAGTAAGGACAATGGCTTAGGGAAGATTCAGCTATTTCTCCAGAGACGAGCGTCCAGTGCCTGGAAATTGAGTTCTCTATACGTTGTTACTCAAAGTTGGGCCTGTGAACCAGGGGCGCTGATACCGCCTGGGAGCTTGTTAGCCACCCAGGAGCTCAAGTCTCTCCCTGGTACTACAGAATCAAAATCTGCATTTTGACATTAAACTCAGGTAACTCATATGCCCATGAAAGCTAAAAAGCACTTATCTGCCATACTAAATTAAATTCCTACTCTCATTTGCCCTGGGGCCTTTGCACATGTTCCTTCCTTGAGGAACACTCCTCCCAATCACCCTCCCCCCTCCTGGATGATTCCTCCTCTATCCACTTAAACCACCTTTTGCCCCTCCCACCTTCTCTCCCTCTGTCAAGGAGGCGGCTCCTTCTCCCCAGCCTCCCTCCAAGGGCCCATGCACACACACACACACACACACACACACACACACACGCACGCGCTCACACCCTCCCCTCCCCTCCCCTCCCCTTCTGTATTTGCACCCTCACTCCAGCCCAAGGTGTGAGATGGACACTGCTCTTGTCTGCTCCAACAGCACCCTGACCCATGTCCTGCTGGAGCACTTGTCAAAATGGCATATAATTTTGAAATATTTGTCTGTTCCTTTAGGCTAGAAGTACTGAAAGAGAAGGGACCCTCTAGGACCTAGAACAGCTAGGTAGTGTGAGTGCTCCATTAGTATTTATTAGCTATTTGTTCTTATTTTTCTGAGCATCCTGGTTGGCCTCAAAAGATTATGCACAGCCCAGCCAGTGTGGCTCAGCAGTTGAGCATCGACATAGGATCCAGGAGATCGCGGTTTGATCCCCAGTCAGGGCACATGCCCGGGTTGCGGGCTGGATCCCCAGTTGGGGGCGTGCAGGAGGCAGCCGATCAATGACTTTCATCATTGATGTTTCTACCTTTCCGTCCATCTCCCTTCCTCCCTCTGAAATCAATTAAAAAAGTAAAAATAAAAAAGATTATGTGCAAAAGGGTGTTTGAAATCAATGTTAAATTTTCTGCAGTGGTGACAGATGGTGGGATAAGCCACATCTGAGGAGGTAATTTAAAGAATTTCCCTGGATGGCTCTAATGAACACAGTTCAAGCAAACACAGTGTACATTTTAACAATTTTAACAGAGTCTTAAGGGTAAGCTTTGCTCTCTTCTCCCTCCCCGCTGGAAGAGTGCTTTGAGTCAAGAGTCGATGGCAAGCAATGCGCTCACGAATTTCAGCACTACTATAGGTTTTACTATCTTAGGGCCTCTAAATGCTGCTTCGCAGTCTCAGGCTTCACCAAGACCTCAAGGAACACTTTTGAAACTAAGACTCCTTGTTCAGGAAAGAAGATTAAGCTAGAGAACGTGCTGCCTTAGCTTTTTAATTTTCCTTTTTCTTGATGAAGGCTATGGGAAAATTTCTAAGACTCATGTCCTCCGAGTGGTGTAGGTGCAAATATATGACTTCACTGTGAGGGGAAAACATACGCACCACTGTTGCTAAGTTAGTGTTGCATCCGTGTGTGTTTATACCTGAAGACCATTAGGTGCTTCTTGTTGAATTATTTATCCCTAAGGTGCTTTACTTATTTTTAAGAAAGTTTTAGGTGTATATTTGTTCGGATGGTCAGAACTCATTGTGTCCTTGAATTCTGCTGCATCTCGACTTTTGTAGAGAATACATCACAGTAACTACCTCAGCTTCCAACTATTTCTGTTCTTTCACCCAAACACCCAGGCAAGTGCTTCGCTCTGCTATACAATCTTCTTTATATGACTTCTAACAAAAATGAGCAGCATTTAATGCATAGCACGTCTAGAACTCTACAAAGTATTTCCACAGTCATTTAGCTATACCCTTTTTATAGATGAGAAACCAAGGATTAGAGGCATACATAACAGGCCTGGGACTTGACCTACTTCTCTTAATGCTATCCCATGTTATTTTCCACTGTAACCTCTAACGTTCTTTCTAATTCTTTGCTATTCTATGACCAAGACATCTGAGTGTTTTTCTTCTAAAAATTTGTAAAGCAGGCTACACCGGGTAGTAACTGGTGGACTTGAGGCCCCTTTAAACTCATATTTCGTGAGTCTGTTACACTCATTTTTAGTCCAAGTGCTGGCCTGGAAAATATTTGATTATATGACCTCCAAATAACAAGTGTCCCTGACATTTTAAAAATTTGCTCTGCATTTTGAAATAGAGCACTTTGATACATAACTTGATTAGGGTTGGGCGAGATCTATTCTACTGTCATAGAAGGTTTCATAACCTATCCAGCCAGCTACTGATACAAGGAGCAAAGAACTAGACTTATTTTCTTCTTGGAGACAATCTCTGAAGAAATCACAGTTTATTAAATATATCTTTACCTTTCAACCTTAATATGTACCGATCTCTATTTTAGGGCACCCTTTATTTCACACTGAAAGAACAGGGTTTTACAGTCTAGCTGGCTTAAGTTAAAATTGCTAGATCTTGTTTGTGAATTTGTTATTTGGTTCTGGAGGTGGACAAGGACACCTTAGTCACACTCCTGACTTGGACAGCTGGCATGTCTGCCCATTAGTCAGCGCCCAACAAAGATGGTAGGGTCAATCAATGGCTCCTCTTAAAAAATCTTAGGATTTATCTTTAATTGTCAGATAAAAGCAAAGATGATCTTTTCATTCTAACTCCATGCTTTTGTCTGTGAGAGTCTCTAGTCCTGAGATACAAATGTCAGTGAAACTATGAGATAGCTAGAAATAGTCCATATACACCCATTAGTAGAACTGTCATGATGTTTTACCAAGACAAAACTCCTGTAAATTTTAATTGCAATATTCAAGACCAGTAGAATGAACAACTTCCACGTATCAAACAAATGTGGAATATGAAAAGCCTAACAGTTAATATAAATAGGTAAAAACTTAAAAATTCCTTACGCCATATGATTATGTGAAAATATCACCATGTGCTGGAAGTTAGAAGGCTTGAATTGGGGTCCCGTCACTTTTACTAGTTTGACCTTGGGAAAGCTGATTAATCTCCCTGAGCGCAGTTTCTCATCTGTTAAATGGAACCAATACTATTTAGTTTACAAGATTTGTTGTTGTTGAAGGGAGAGAATCTCAGTCAATGGTGATACACTTCACTGAGGACCCTCTTTGCCCCAGTCATTGTGACAAGACCTTCACATTTGTCAGTTCAAATCTTCATAGCATCACAGCACATAAAGTGCTATTAGCCTGTTATATTCATTATATTATGAGACTCAGTGGTAAGGAATTTGCTAAGTTTCACTGTTAATTGAATGGCTCAACGCGGAATCCAAACCTAGCTGAACCTGACCGCAGTCTGCGCTCTTCCCAGGTGACATGCTATCTTTACATAGCACCGCTTGCTTTTGTCATGTGCTAACTTCTAAAGAACTGCTCAAAGAGCGATGCAGACAAGGGGTGAGGGTTAGCAGGAGGAGGTGTCTCTGGCTGCTGCAGCAGCTTAGATGGCATCTCCTGTTGCAAGGAGAAGGGACTTGGTCGTTGAGAAGCGTCACCAGAAGCACTGCCAGGCCTAGGCCTCCACGAAAGGAACAGAAAAGCATCCTCCATCTGTGATTTCAGGGATGATAGCTTTGCCTGCCTAAGAAGTTCTGTCTGATCTTGATGCTGAGTTCCCTGCTAACGGCTTAAAGCCATTTAAACTAGAATAGGGTAGCAGGACCTGATGGAGTGAGACACAGCAAGGGTAATATTTGATGGCAAAAATAGGTAAGGTGCACAGCAGAGTTTGCATTTTGGTGGAAGTGATGCT